CCCAAAAACCAAAATTGTTAGTTGTGTTATTCACAAATTAAAAAAAAAATATACCCTTAAACAAAAAAAATACAGGAATTGCTCTAAATAGAGAAAATCTGGGACCCTTGCCATTGACAGTATTAAACAAGTTGTTGATTTATCTAGTTCAGACACTCAATTTCAGGTATTCTCATTTCTCCCAGGCTTTATTAAAACACTACCGGATAGTTAGTGGATGTACAGATATTTTGACAACAAAAATAATTTATGATTATGATATCTACTAAAGTAATTTTAAGATGTTGCTTTGTTTTCTAGATTGCAAATGAAACACTACTAAATCAAATAACCCAAAAAGAATTTATGTGTAACTGTTTAAAAGATAATTTAGAATCAATAAATGACGTTTTGAAGTCTAAAGAGGTATATATATATAACTTTTGCATGTGATGAAATATGACCAGTTAGTAATCTGATAGTGAAAAATTCCAATTCACAATATGTCAGTCATTGAAAGAGCTTTGAATAGTTTTCCAAACTAAGGTAAGATACAAAAAATAATAAATATGAGTTCACTTATCAATTCATTAAAATTTCAGTTTCACATATACGCCTTTCCGTTTTAAAGCATTCCTTTTTTTTTATCCATATTTATAGCACCATTTCCAAGAGTTAATAAAGAAAGAAGGTGAATCCACTGAGAGTCTTCAGAACTTGATGATTGAGTATGAAGAACTAGTGAAAAGATTTGAAGCTGAAAAGTAAGTTTTTTAATGTCTGTGATTTGACCTCTTTGGATAATCAAGTTAAAATATTGGGGTAACCGCTTGAAACCTTGTATATGCCTTAATTGGTCATTTTGACTGTTTGGTACCTTTCGAAAGCTCGTAAAAGCAAGGATCTTGTGATCAAAACCTTGTATTCTAATTAGCTTGATTGTCAATAACCAAATGCACTAATTAAATAACACGTATATAAACGGTCAGATTTAAAACGTTGTAAAATATTATATTATACGAGGTTCAACGTTTAAAAAGTTTTAAAAAAAATACGCATACAAATAGTTTTTTGCGCTTTTCTTGAAAAGTATTTTCGCGTCATGTATCGTTATACAAGATTTCAAGCGGTCACCCACAATATGGTTTATTAGTTCACCTTAACCAACAAAATGTGTTTGAATAGACTGATCAGGTTATATAATATGTATACAATAGAAGATGGAATAACATAGCTGCCATATATTTTTTGACAATTTCATTAATTTATTGAGAAGTTGTAAGATAAAATAAATCATATTCTTTTTGCAAGGAAAAAAATCTACATTTTAGATCTGTAAATAAGGGTTTTGAAAAAAACATGAAGGAGCTAAGATCTGAAGTTCAATCTAAAGATAAAGATTTATCTGGAAAGGATAAAGAAATTACAAAGTTGAAGAAAGAAATAGAGGTAATTATTTGTAATTTTTTCACACATTTAGATATATTTTTGAAAAAACAATAGTTTTGAAAAAATGAGATTTATACCAAAAATATAAATTTGAATTTGTTTACTTATCCCCTGCAAATAAGTCTATTCAATATACGGCAAATAAAGACATTTCTTGAAAACATTTAGTAAATTAGGAATATTTTAAAGCCAATCCAAGTAGTGAAATAATAAGAAATTCTTTCTATTATTTCTATTTTCTAGCTATCTGAGATTTTTTCAACGAATTAAGAATTCTATTTTATTATTTCAGAAACAAAAGAAAGAAAAAGCAACTGTGACTGAAGAACTTGAAATTGTCCGAGGGGACTTGAATGAATTGAGGTATTCTATGTAACATGAAAGTACAATGTACATGGTTAAAGATGTTCAAAAGATGTTTTCTAGCGTTTGTATGTGTATTGGAGACATTTTTGGCTGTTATATATATATATCATTCTTCTACCTGGTATTCTAAAAAGATTCTATCGTAAATTTCAAATGGGAAATCACTTGTTCATTCATGTATTTTAAATTGCAATAAAACATATTCAAAATCGCTAAATGCAAAAAAAAGTGTATCCTTGATAATTATTATAGCTTTACTAAAAACAAATTAGTAACTTTCATTATTATCTTATTAGAAGTAAGTCATGTTTTTAGCTTAAGTATTCTATTCTTTACAGAAAAGAACAAGAAAATTTATATCAAGAAATAACAGCTGTCAAAGAAGAGAATGAAAAGTTAAAGGCACAACATCATGAAACTGTTAGTGTGATTAATATTGAAAACCAAATATGAACTTCAAAGTACAATTAAAAAATAGTGGACACCAACCTTTTATTGTAACTTAAAGTACAGAGAATCCTTATTATTTAACAGAATACAATTGTGTGATTTGGATTTTTTTTTTTTTTTTTTTGCATTTTATGGATTGACCAATGATCAATGATTTCTTGTCTTTGTAATTTAACAGTCAGCTATTGAATATTTCAGGGAAAGAATTTGAATAATGAAAGAGAATCTAAATCAAAGAAGGTAACAGATTTAGAAACAAAACAAAAAGAACTGAAAGGAGAAATAACAAGCAAAAATAAACAACTCAAAGAATTGGAAAAAGAGCTAAAATCAATGAAGATAAAATTGAATCAAAAACAAAAAGCTACAGAAGAAAGTACCAAACAGATAGAACAACTATCAGAAGAGCTAACAACTGTTTATGAAGAAAATGGTAGATTGAAGAAGAATGTAGATGAAATCAAAGAACATATTAATGTAGAAAAAAATCAATCAGCAGAAAGTGAATCAAGGGTTGGTGTATTAGAATTTTGGTTTGGAATTGAATTTTAATAAAGATCAAATTCAAATAATAATTAGAAAGATAATAACAATGATCCTGCTATTTTTCTCTAAGCTTTAAACACATATTCTTATTATAATTTGGAATGAGTACATGATTAATATGAAATACAATGGGATATAGATGTTTGAATTTGAACAGTTCCAATGAGACTTTTAAGGCAACTGCTCAGAGTTTGGGCATTTTGTGCCGATTTGAGTGCTTCAATACTTCATCAAACCTTCAAAAGTAGGCCATTGATACCAACCATCTTTTGTGAAAGTTGTGGAACTGATTGTATGAGGTACACTATCTTTAATTAAAAATGAATAAAATGTTGAAAAGATAGGGCTTCTTGTCAGGCAATACCAGTTCTAACAGCCATCAGCCTGCGTTTAACATCTTCATAAAATGGAATCAATTTATGGCATTTTATAAGGGTCTAAGAGCAAAGTTTTTTGTTTTCAGGTGACAGAAATAAAGAAAAAACTAGATCAGGCCTTGAAAGATAAAAATGAAAGTGCTGGTAAATGTGAAGCTCAGATTGCAGAGATGATGGCGACTCTTCAAAAGTATAAGCAAGAAAATCAAAAGATTGTTGATCAGAAAGAAAAAGAATTAGAATCTCTTAGACTGAAACATGAACAATCAGTGAATAAAAATCAGGTAATTTCATTTCATCAGAAAATGACATAATTATTGTGATGTATGAAGACATCTTATTCATACAATTTAATTTCAAATAGAATCGTTAGTTTAGTTGAGAGTAGGTTTGAAACAAAGACAGTAACACATGTTCAGTAGAAAGAGAAAAACAGATTCAATATGATTACATTAAAGCTGGAGTTATTTTGTTTTTTATATGTTTACTGGGTAACTGCAATCTTACTCACTTTCACTATTCAACACTTTTTGAATAAAAGGCAAAACTCAAGAAATATAGTGATTTACAGCACAAGCCAAGGCTCAGTGATCAATATCTCACAATTCCTCAGAAATAGTGGTTTAGTGAAACCAAAATTGTGCTGATTCTTAAGCTGAATTTATAAGTGTTGCTTTCTGGTGGATAGTACTTGCCTTACAAATTCTTGTTTGTAAAATCTGAATCTGTATTTCCAGTTCAGTGATAAAAATTTTGATGATTTGAAAAAAGAAAGTGAAGAACTGAAGCTGAAAATAACTAACCTAGAAAACGAAAAGGTATGGCTAACTTGCCTAAAGGTCGGGGACTTTTGTCGCCGATTAGAGTCTTGAGTAAATCTTGCGCGTGCCTGTGCTTCCATGACAAGGTGAAAAACGTGCTGGTCACCAAAACTCTTGAGTAGACTAGTTGCTGACAAAAATCTCCGACCAAGACCTCTTGTGCGCCCGCACCTTAAGCCTAATACAATTAATATCACTGTGAAAAGTTGACAATAGCTATTACTATTCAAATAATATATAAATGATATAGATAGGGTTTTTTTTTTACTTTCTATGACCTGACTAGTGTCAGCTCACACTTTATCACTGGATCTAATGTCTTCTGCTGATATTACATTAGATATTAATTCTATACATCAGATTTTCTTACATCTTATAGAGAGAGCAAGTGAAAGTATCGGGAGTTGACAGCAAGATAATCAAAGATCTAAAAACGAAACTCACAAGAAAGGTAATAAAGAAATGTATTTTACTCTGTTTGAGTTGAACGAATTAAGAGTGAAATATTTTCTTTGTCATGTGAACAAATTAAGAGTGATCGAAATGATCATGTTCAGTATAAAGTGTTAAATGTTAATTCATTTGCACTAAGACAAACATACACGGCACTCTATATTTTTATATGTGATTAGAGTCAATTTGATTTATATCCGTGTAAAATTGGTACAGGTAATGGGTGACTGGGTTTTCAAATGGTTATAAATGCCATGAAGTCCATTATTTGACTTGTATGTATATTGTAAAAGGTACTGGGTACCTGGATTGTTAAGGCATGAAAATTCCAATAAGTGCATTATTTGACCTGTATTTGCACTGTACGAGGTACTGGGTACCTGGATTGTTAAGGCATGGAAATGCCAATTATATTCCATCTATGCCCTTCGGGCATTTCGGATTAATATTGCATATTCCTGGTTATCCAGCCCGAATATGCTCGAACACTCATGTTTAAAGTAAAAATAAAACCATGAACCCTGACCTATGTCACGTGATCATAGTTGATGTCTGGCCCAGCAACCTCTTGTCAGTGTCTTTTTCTGTTATGATCTAGACCAGGATAGAGCTCGAATACTCTTATAAGTTTGAGGTGTTCCTCAAGTATTTGTTCAACTTTTTTAATTCACTTTGTTGATTATTTTTCTATGATATTATCAAAAATTAAAGTCGTGTCGCTGATTCGATTTGCCTTTTGTGTTGCTATTTTTAGCATCATATATTTTATGTTGGTTCAACCTTTAATGAATTACAATATGAGTGATTTTTCCGATCAAGATTTTACTGGTTTCACATCTCAAGACTTGAGTATTGCTGAAAATATTTTGATTAATAATACTAATCAGGGCGATACGTCTAAGTTTGTTGATCTAATAACAAACGCTTCGAAACCGGAAGTAAAGTCTTCCAATGTAAACAAACATGGCCGGAAAAGGAAAAACGTGGAGAAAATTTCAGCTACAAGTACAAGTAAGAAATCTTCAAATATTTCTCGTACGGGAACAAATCCAACGTGTACGATCACTTCGGCCTCATTTAATAATACTGATGATCGTTCAGATGTTTTCGTTAATCCGAATTCAATAAATAGGACCACAGGTCGTAAATTAGATGATACCACGAGCGGTGGTGGGCAGGTTAATAGTTTACAAATTGATAAAGAACAATTTAACAGAAACGAACTAGCTGATTTAAAGAATCAAATTGCATATTTAACATCTATTGTAGATAAACAATTAAACAATGATAATATTTATAGGCCTACTAATGTTGATTTAGGCGATCATATTCAGGATGTAAGAAATTTAGAACAAAATGTTAGTTCTCCAGATAATTTTTATAACGAACCAGTTATTGATCTGGTAGATCCTCAGGAAATGTATGATGAGTTTCTTGAGGAAACCCCTGAGGTTCAGGAGGATGATTTTGATATCCCTAAGATATTCCAAGGGGATGATACTTTTGGTAATCCAGTCTCTGATAATCTTGTTAAATTAGTTTCTGTTGCCACTACTAAGAAAGTGGAAGTTGCTAAATTGACATCCAAATACTCTATTCCGGAAAATTGTAAATGTTTGGTCCCACCACTCGTGGATGGAGACATCTGGAACATTTTACCAAAGAGTGCCCAATCTCAGGATTTGTCTCTTCAAGATGTCCAAAAATTGATAAGCATTGGTATTGCCCCTCTTCTGTCAATCTTGGCATCCAAGGATCGCACCATTGATCAGAACAGTCAAGTTGTTGTAATTTTGGGCAACTCATTGAATGAAATTTCTCTGAGACGTCGACACTTGATGAAACCTTTTTTAAGTAAGAGATACCATCCTCTTTGCTCTGCTTCTCGACCTATCTCTGGAACTCTGTTTGGTCCAGACATTGCAACCAGAATCAAGGAAATAGACCAATCTGCCAAACTTTACACTCCGATGAGCTACAAAAATAATAAATTTAATAATTATTCAAATGCTTCATATAGTAGATCTTGGTATAAGAGGCCTTTTTTAGCTGGAGGCCAGAGGAGATTTCAACCTCCAGATCGAAGAGCAGCATATTATCCAAGTTACAAAAATTACCAGAACAGGGGCAGACCATACATACAGTACTCGAGGCAAAGCCAGAGGTCGTTACACAAAGAGTCAATAGATCATGTAAGTACTCCTAAGAAAACAAGTAAGGAAACTTTTAGAGCTGGTCAGCTTTCAAAGTTTTCAAAAAATTGGCAGAATCTTACAACTGATAGTTGGATTATTGATACAATAAGTAATGGTTACAAAATTGAATTTGACTCTTTACCTGTTCAGTGGTCTTTGCCGAATTCACCATACCTTTCTGTGACTGAGATTGATGTCATTGATCAGGAAGTAAGAAAACTCCTTAAAAAAGGTGCAATTGAACCTTGTGATCCCGCACCAGACCAATTTATTTCGAACTTGTTTTTAGTACCTAAAAAGAATGGTACCTTGAGACCTGTTATCAATCTTAAAAAGTTAATAAATGATTTTGTATCTTATGACCATTTTAAGCAGGAAACTTTGTCGGTTGTTCTGAAATCTATTACTAAGAACAGTTTTTTAACATCAATAGATCTTTGTGACGCCTATTTTTCCATTGGAATTAATCCAAGTGATAGGAAGTACTTATGTTTTGTTTGGCGTGATGTAATTTATCATTTCAAATGTTTGCCATTTGGTATTTCATCAGCACCTCGGGTGTTTACCAAAGTTTTGAAATTAATTTTTTCTTTCTTGAGAAAGCAATCAATTATATGCTGTTACTTTATAGATAATTCACTTTTCTCATCTTCAACTATTGAAGAGTCAAGGTCTAACACTTGTAAGGCTATAGATTTGTTTCATAGTCTTGGATTTGAAGTAAATTTTGAAAAATCAAAATTAAAACCATCTAAAGAATTTGTCTTTCTTGGGTTTATTATAAACACAGAGTCATATAAAGTTTTCATGACTCAGGATAAGTTAGATAAGATTGTCTCTTCAGCTAGAAATTTATTAGCTTCTGTTTTCACTGTAAGAGATTTAGCCTCTTTTATTGGTCTTTGTTCTTTTAGTAGAATTGCAATCCGACCTGCCTCATTTTATATACACTATTTAGACAAAGGCAAAACAACACAGCTTTCACAATCCAACCTTGACTACGATACTGTTGTGAAACTTGACTCTTATATGATCCAGGAGCTTTATTGGTGGATTGACAAATGCCATTTTTTCAATGGGAATCATATTCAGCCTCCACCAGTGGATGAGATGGTAACCACCGATGCATCTGGAATGGGTTGGTGAGCTCACTTAAATAATTTTCAGACAAATTCTTTATGGCTTCCAAGTGAACAAGGAAATCACATTAATTTGTTAGAACTGTTGGCAGTGTTTAAGGCTTTGGAAAGTCTTTGTTCTGAACTCCATGATATACACATTTGTATACAATCTGATAATTCTGTTGCTATTGGTTATATCAATAATCTTGGAGGTGCAATAAATTCATTACATGAATTGTTCAAATCTATTTGGTTATGGTGTTCTAGACGGAACATATATTTGTCTGCTAAGCATATCCAGGGTAAATTCAACCTGGAGGCTGATTTTTTATCAAGGAATTTTTCGAATTCTACGGAGTGGATGCTCCATGAGAATACATTTAATAAGATTTGTAACTATTTTGGTACTCTGGATATAGATTTATTTGCATCCTCCTTAAATTATCAGATTGAACCTTACGTTTCTTGGTATCCAGATCCTTACTGTGTAGCTTGCTATGCCTTCACCTTTTCTTGGAGCAATTATTATCCTTACATTTTTGCTCCTTTCAGTTTAATACCAAGGATCCTCAACAAGATTATGTTGGACAAGGTATCTTGGGCAATAATGGTTGTTCCAGCTTGGTCAACCCAGGTATGGTATCCTCTACTTTTAAACCTTTTGGTGGATTACCCACTTCTTTTGCCCAAGGGAAGAGATTTATTGAAGATGCGTTGCATCCATTGAAAGGCAATTCCCTCAGATTGACCGTTTGTCTTGTATCAGGACAAACATTCAGAGTAAAGGCATTTCAAAAGAGTCTGCAGAACTCATCCTTAACTCATGGCGATCTAAAACAAACAAGCAATATCAGTTGGCTTGGAATAGATGGAATCTTTGGTGTGTGCAAGGGAAAATCAATCCCTTATTTCCATCTATAGAGAATTTGTTAAATTTTCTTGGGGTTTTGTACAAATCTAATTGCTCATATAGTGTTATAAATGCATCACATTCAAGTATAATTCAGACTTTGCTAACGGTAGGGAATTCCCATCTAAAAGACCATCCTTTACTTACTCGTTTCATGAAAGGTGTTTTTGTACAAAAACCTCCTAAGCCACGCTACTTGGCAACATGGGATATATCTATTTTATTACGATATTTAAGTTCTTTGTATCCGTTGGATTCATTGTCTCTACGAATGCTTACAATTAAAGCAGTTTCTCTGTTGTCATTGTCAACTGCCCAACGTTGTCAAACTTTGGCATCTTTCTCTTTAGATTCTGTGAAAGATTCCGGGACAGCTATAAGTCTCTTAACATCGAGTATATTAAAAACATCTCGTCCTTCACTACCTCTATATAGTGTCAACATAAATAATTATAAAAATTTATACATCTGTCCCTGTCATACACTACGTACATATATTTCAACAAAAGAGAATAAACGCAAAACACAAAGTTTATTTATTTCTTTTTTCAATAAAAAAGCTGTATGTGCTTCTACTATTTCCAGGTGGATTAAAGAAGCTTTGATTTCTTCTGGCAGATATTTTTAAACCACATTCCTTAAGAGGTGCTGCCTCGTCTGCTGCTAACTTAGCAGGACTTTCTATTTCAGAAATACTGAAGACAGCTGATTGGAGGTCAGAGAAGACTTTTGCTGACTTCTATAACAGAGATATTCTGCCTTCTTTTTCAGATGTTGTGTTGAATAAATTATGAACATTTTCAGAATTTTTAATCTTTTTTCAATTCTTGTTGTCAACCTCTTTAAATTATGCAATATTAATCCGAAATGCCCGAAGGGCATAGATGGAATATAATTTAACTCTCAGCCAAGTGCCCAAAGGGCACAAAGGATGAGAGAAATTATATGAATATATTGCCCGAGGGCTTGAGGATTAATCTTCCCTCCCAAGTCCCTCCCGGGTTATATAATTTAAGGTTGACAGCATGCCTGGCTTTAAATAGACACTGACAAGAGGTTGCTGGGCCTGACATCAACTATGATCACGTGACATAGGTCAGGGTTCATGGTTTTATTTTTACTTTAAACATGAGTGTTCGAGCATATTCGGGCTGGATAACCAGGAATATGCAATATTATGGCTGAGAGTTAAATAAGTGCATTATTTCACTTGTATTTGCACTGTAAGAGTTACTGGGTACCTGGATTGTTAAGGCATGGAAATGCCAATTAGTTCATTTGACTTGTATTTGCAATGTAAAAGGTACTGGGTACCTGGATTGCTAAGGCACGGAAATGCCAATAAGTTCATTTGACTTGTATTTGCTATGTAAAAGGTACTGGGTACCTGGATTGTTAAGGCATGGAAATGCCAATAAGTGCATTATTTGACTTGTATTTGTATTGTAAGAGGTACTGGATTTTTGAATTGTATAGATATTGTTTAGTGTGATAAGATATAAGTAATGTATTATAATGTATTTCTGTGTAAATTTGTTTTTAGCAATACTGTTGTGTGGGATTGATATATGCTTTCGCTCAGCGCAAACTTTGTAGGGTCTCTTTGCATTACGTTTGAGCACAGGTTTCTGAGAAAATACATCAGTTTTTCCTTAGTGGCACTAAGTGAACTAACTGATCCAGTGATCAAAGATGTTCCTGCTGACATTATTGTTGTAAAAATGTATATATAGAGCTCAATTTAAGGTATTTTGTATTTGGAAATGTTTTGTTATTTATATGGTTGAATAAACTGTAGCAAATTGCAATTGTGTTAAAATTGTGAGAAGGGAACAAAGAATCTATTTACCGATATTCATATGAAAGCACAAGCAATCACATTGTTGCTTCATATATTCTAGAGATACATTATTTTGGACATAATTTGCAGGAAAGTGAAGTTACAGGTCTGAAGAATAAACTCGGAAAAGAGACGACCAAAGTATCAAGTCAAGCCAGCTCTACACAAACTAGTCCATCACAGGTCAGCCATTATTACAATCAGAAACAAGAATTTGCATTTTGATATAAAAACAGAAATAAAAAATGAGCAAAGCAAAGAAAAGCATTTGTGAATGGTATATGGTCCAAGCATGATAATTTTGGCCTTATCATCTAAGATTATTAATTTCAAGGTTCCTGTAACTCCATTGAGAAGGACATTTATACCAACAACTCCTAAACTACATCCAAAGACAGCTGACACACCTAAAACAATGAAGACACCAGTTGGTGAGGAGCAGACACCACAGAGAAGTATTCTTCGTGGAATCAATAGTGTATCTAAAAAACGACGTGTTGCTTTTATACCTGATAATGAGAAACACAATGATTCAGATTCTTCTTCTTCCGAATTAATGGAAATAGAGGTTTGTCAGTTAACGTTATTGAATCAAGAACGGGAGATTTGAGGATTGGTTGGTTGGTTTATGACAAGTTAACGCTTGCTTCCAGCGGATGCTGATATCGCAAACTAGGTTCGAATCATTCTTTTCATAGTCAAATACCAGCACCAATTTCTCTCAACAACTTTTATGTACTATTTATTTTTAGCCTATGGACATTGATCAATTTGCAAGAGGAAAATCTACACCAATTCATATTCGTCCATCTCCACGAGTAAAAGTATCAGAACCAACACGACAACCATTAAAAACTCCACAATTGAATAGAGTTCCTCGTGGTCCACCCATTAAGCTCAATCCAAAACAGGTCAGTATCATCCAGTAGTATCAATCTTTTGATCTTTCTTTATACTTATACATTGTAAGTTAGTATTTATTATACCTGTGATTGATTTTTTTTTGCCTGGTGCACAAATATTTCTTTCCACCTATACAGCATATTATATTGATCTTTGACATTAACATATACTGATTCCTTTTCATCTTTTTCAATTTCTAGCAACAAATCAAAGGATATATGGGTAAAGAAAATGACCAATATAATGCTTTGTTTCCTAATGAGACACGAGAAAATAAAATTGTAAAAAAGGTATGTATGACATAACTTTATGGAATAGTTATCTAGCTACCTGAAATTTTTGTATACACGTACGTAAATATTGTATCATAAAATAAAGATCAGATATCATGTCCCTGAACAATTACAAAATAAAAAAAAAAAGTCAATATTTTCACTATTAATGGTTTATTTTGACAAACATTAAGTCTTCATCCCGTCAAACATTATGTCTTCAAGAGAAGTCTCGTTAAATTCTCATTTTTATTTAGAAATTTCACATAAAAATGTAAAATCATGTCATCACACATGTTAAATTTGAACCATCATTCAACATTTCAGAGGCGTAAAATACAAACTACTGTTTTCATCTGATTTTAATTAGCCTTGGTGTGGTTTAGATTGTTGAGATCTTGAGTGAATTAGAAGTTGACAATTTTTTTATGAAATTCTGAAAGAAATTCTTACTACTTCTTTTCCGAAATTTGTATGTAAATTTAATTATATATGTGTAAAAGTCAAATTTCTTCAATGCAAAGCTTTAATGTATATTTCTTTTTTAGAAGGAGATTATGGCTGGTTCCAACATGAGAAAAACACCATCAAAACAAACAAAGGCTAAATTCTTCTCTGTCTCTCCAAAACAAAGAAAAGAGGCAGCAAGCAAGGCACGTAAATCAGATAAAGTTGAAGATATGGCTTGGTTTGATCTTGATTCTGTTTTTGGATTTGGTCCTGAGGACTAAACAAACAGTTTGCCTATTTGTGAAAAGAAAGGAAGTTTTTTGTTTTTATTTCACAGAATAGCTTTCAGATAGTCAAACAAAAAATATTGTGTCCTGTTTACAAACATACATGTATGAAAAGTTAGTCAAACTTACGCAGACCTAAGAGTAAAAAACAACTTTACAAACAGAATACACTATTGCTTATTGCAGCTTATAAATTCACTGATTGTTATAATATGAATTATCTTGTTTATTTAATTTCATTCTTCAAACCCTGATAAAATGATAAAAAAATAATTGTGATATACTATTCTGTGATAATTTAAATAAAAGGTTACAAAATCATATAAAAATATTGATATTAAGACATGTTTTGCATGTTAATAGTTATGAATTTTACCTTTTAAAAATATGATACGATATTTATATATGATGAAAATATAGTTGATGTTATTCAAATTAAAAATACATTAAGAAGATGAATTACTTATTTTTTTTTCTATTTTTGAAGGAATGCAACCTCCTTGGACACCTGATGTAATAATATACATATTGAAAATATTCTTGGTTCAAAAATGACTATATCAGATTTAATGTTAATAGTCTCCAAAACTGTACGAAAATTTCTTTCTTTCTATTGCTAGTGTACCCTCTGGCTGAAAATTGGGGTACCCGAAAATTGTTGATAAAATCTAAACTTAATTTTATATTATCTAGTCCTTAACCATTCTGCACTATGGCAGTCTTGAAAAAGGAGAGAACAGAAAGTTTTTTTGCAATATCAAATAGTGCTTTCAAATGGATCAAAGAACAGGTGTGCAAGGCTTGGAATGCATTAAGATCTCTAAACACAATGAGGTTATAATGGACCTGTATGTGTTTGGTCAAGGTCATTAAAATAAGAGAGTATTAAAATATTAAGTACAACAGCTCTTTTGCCATTAACACTTGCCAAAGGGTGTAATAACAAAATTCTGTTTCCATAAATGACAAATTTTTCATATCTGATTTTGCAGACTTTTTCATAATCAATAAAAAGCCTAATGGCATTATACATATGATAAAACAGTGTCAAAATATATTCTGAAAGTCAAAAGAAAACTGAAAATTGACTAGATACATGTATTGATATCATAATCAAGATCAACTTGATATTGAACATCGACTTACAAATCCAATACAAAATAATTTTGATAACTGTATACCTATAAACACATACATAAATTTGAATATAAATCTTATTCCATGCAATAAAAATTCATCTACTTAAAAGATATTAATTTACATATCACTAGAGCCAATATAACACTGTCTTATATCACATACTATTAAAAATTTAAAATACTTAAGACTAGTTGGATGATGTACTGGTAGAAAATGTAACATGTTGTGTAGAATTTCGTGAATAATTGCTTCCATAGTCTGGTACAGAGGATGGTTTCTTTAATCTCTTTTCTAGAAAATAATGGCAAGAGATTGTACCATACATAAAAAATATACTGCTTTTCCTATACTTTCATTTTTAAATAAATTTTGTCAAGTGATATTCTGCACAATAGCATGAAAATACTACATTTACAGCTGGAAAAAGCATAAACTGAGGCATAAAACAATTAACTGTTTTGATGGGCACACCACCATCAAGAAGCCCTCCTTCATCATTCATAAAAGGTACAAAGATAAGTTTACTCCATACCATTTCATTTTTCTTGAGAAAACTAATTAAGCAGATAGATTATACTTACGAACAACAATACTTTTTTCATGTTTAGCACCAAATATTCTATTAGCGGTGTAGAATATTACAGGTACCATACCCATTACAAATGCTATACCTAAGACTGGTGCCTCGTCCCCTTGTCTGTGAGAACAATTTAACATCTTCCCCCACATTAATCTTGTGTAATTCATCTGCAAAGGTCAAAATAAATATATAAGTCTGAATAGATTAGAAACCGGCTAAACAGGAATCATTCAATAAATATATAAATTACTCAATCAATAATCCAATATCTATAAATTAAAAAAATTTGCACATATTTACAGGTTTTCTTTTGCTAAAAGTTTATTACTGATTGGCCTCATAGCTTTAAGTCAATCAGTACTATCCAAGTTGATAGAGAAAGCCAAATCCAGAGTGAAGCTGTGACCACAAGAAAACAATCATAATTGATAACCTACCATATCAATGATGTCCATACAAACATGGTATGATGTTTCTTTCACAATTTTTTCATAATGTGAATTTAAAGCTGAATAGGATTTCTTACATTTGATACAATCACTAGAATTCCATTGATGTTCTGTATCAATAATACTCTACATGGTCAAAATATAAAAATTATAATAATTACACCAAACCAAAATACAAGACAGAGCATGTGGTAATATGATATATATCATATATGATATACATTAAATTCTAAAGAATGGTTTATGTAAAACACCTGTTGTGATTGAGGACAGTATATATATAAAATCTTACCCCTGGTGTAACATTTAGACAAACTGATACATTCTTAAAATAATTATGAAATAATATTGTATCATTGGTTAGTGTAAAATTAACATCTCCATCTTCACCTTCCACAATAGTCTCAAAACAATCTGAATTATAACAAATCACAAGACTTTGTATAGCATGTAAATCTGCCCATCAATGAAAATCAGGGAATAGAATATGAATAGCATTAGCATCTTGTAGTCAAAGAGTTGTGGTACAAATGATTGTTTTCCCATTGCCAGTTCGTCATTTCCTCTTTTCAAGCCCGCAGTTAGACAGATTCTTCACTTAAGTCAAATATAGAGATGATTGATCAGTTCTGCAATGTGTAACAAATTAGATCCAAATAACAGGTTGAAAACTTTGATCAAGATCTGATCTGCGACCTTACTAAAAGCTTATGTGTAAAAACTTTGTCAGACTCGAATGAAAGTACATATCGTGGGTGACCGCTTGAAACCTTGTATATGCCATATTTGGTCATTTTGACTTTTGGTACCGTTCGAAAGCTCTTAAAAGTGCGGATCTTGTGATCAAAACCTCGTATTCTTAGCTTGATTGTAAATAACCCAAAAACCACTAATAAAATAACACGTATATAAACAGTCAGATTTAAAACCTCGTAAAATATATTATTATACGAGGATCAATGTTCCTTTTCTGAGGATGAAAATGAAAAACCTCGTATACTGTATTATTATACGAGTTTTTGGTTTAATAGGCTGGAGAACTTAAATTGTTATTTGAGGTTTATATTTTCCAAGAATGAAAATCACATATAGCAGTAAAAAAAATAATAAAAAAGATTTTAACAAAATACGCGTACAAATAGTTTTATGTGTTTTTCTCGAAAAGTAATTTCGCGTCATACATCACTATATGAGGTTTCAAGCGGTCACCCACGATATAGATTCTTCTTCTATTTAACTACTGTTCCATCACTATCAGCTAACTTGCAATACTCTTATATTGGACCCTTTAACTTCCAACTGCAGATAATTCGGGATGAGCTGTGAACAGTTATTAATCAGCTTTGCTAAAAATATTCCTGTTTCTGCGACTACAGTACGATTGGTCACTGATGGCAAACCTGTCACTTATAATTTAATGTATAAATCAGACTTACTTTCACAATCAGCATTAGACCAGACATTAAGCATATTATTATACACTAAGGTTAAAACTTGTATTCTATCTGCTTTTAGTAAAGCATCATGACATTCTTTATCTTTTCTTTCCTATAAATATAATTAATAGAAAATATTGACAAGAAAGAATCTTGAATTCACTGATTTGCTCAAACTAATTTAACAGGAGACTTTCATTCTCATAATATATATAAGATATATATAAAGTTTATTAAAAGGATTGGGAAAAGCTTCCTAAAAAAAATTATGTTTATGGGGGACACTAGATCTAATATCATCAATTTGCATTTGCAAATTTCATTCCAATTTTCAGTCCGACATCTATGGCTTGCGAAATTCCACTAAAAGTATGCGCTTTATGATGTTACTATCACAAAAACAAACTATTAATATACATGGACCTTTGATTAAAGATAGCTTGCCTGGCAAGGTAACATACGCCCACTACTAGCTGTCAGAAATGATAACAAAATCGTAAGTGGCTTAATAATGAATTTTCAAATAATCTATAAGTCAAGGCAAAAACCTGAAACAGTTCATCAAATTCAAACATGAACAATGTCTCATTACTGTACACACAAGTGCAATAAGTCTGAAACTGTTCATCCGATTATTAACAAGATCTCATTAATATATAAATGTATACTAAGTTTCATGAAGATCAGATAAAAACTGTAGTGTCTATTGTGCCTACAAGCCAAATTTGACGCGTTTTTACTAAATCAAGGGCATTAACTCCATCCAATTATCACCAATTTCGAAATTGACCAAGATCACATCCATATATACATGCATACCAAGTTTCATCACAGATCAGATAAAAACTGTAGTCTCTGTTGTGCCGACAGGCCAAATTTGACGCGTTTTTTTCTAAGTCAAGAGCAATAACTCTGAAACTGTTAATCCGATTATTACTAATTTCGATCTTGATCGAGATCTCATCAATATATACATGCATACCAAGTTTCATGAAGATCGGATAAAAACTGTAGTTTCTATCGCGCCTACAAGGCAAATTTGATGAGTTTTTCAAGTCAAGGGCAATAACTCTGAAACCATTCATCCGATTATTACCAATTTCAAACTTGACTGAGATCTCATCAATATATACATGCATACCAAGTTTCATCAAGATCAGATAAAACTGTAGTCTCTATTGTGCCTACAAGCCGAAATTGACGCATTTTTACAAAGTCAATAACTCTGAACCCGGTCCTCCAATTAATTCCAATTTCAAACTTATATTTCATAAATATATACATGCATACCAAGTTTCATCAAGATCAGATAAAAAAGAAATGTGAACGGACCGACGGCAATATACGTCCACATTTCCATGAGGGCGTATAAAAAGGGCGGTCACCAATCTGCATCAAGTCAAACCATTAATCTAATTTGTGCAAGATATTTTTCATTTCAACAAACACACAAAATTCAATAAAATTTTGACATAAACTGTTACCTCTATAGCATTCACAAGCCAACAAATTTTGATGTGTTTTTCAAGGGCAATGACTCAAAAACCATTCAAAAGAAAGATCGTCAACTTGACCATGATCTTATCATTATAAATGTTCACACCAAATTTCATTTAAATCGGATGAAAACTGCAGTCTCTATTTTGTTCACAAACAAATTTTGACGCATTTTTCCTAATTAAGGGCAATAACTAAAAAAACGTTCATAGAAAGATCGCCAATTTCAAACTTGTCCAAGATCTCATCTTTAATCTTTATTAATGATCACACCAAATTTTATTTAAATCAAATGAAAACTGTAGTCACTAAATTGTGTTCACAAACAAATTTAACACATTTTTCCTGAATCAAGGGCAATAACTCAAAAACCATTCATCTTCAAATTCGATCTTGACCAAGATCTCATGAATATAAATGATCACACCAAATTTAATTAAAATCAGATAAAATTGTAGTCTCTATTGTGTTCGCAAGCCAATTGTGGACGTACGACCGAATGACGAGGGGCGACGACAATATACGACCACATTAAAAATTGGAATGATGGAAATTGATACTATCGTCTCCAATAAACATAAATTTTTTTTAGAAAACCTCTTCACAATCAAGCAAATAAACATACAATACAATACAAATCTTTATTTAATGTCAGTTTTTACAAAGGAATAACATTTCCCATGGCTATTTTCACCTACTTAGAGTAAGATAGCTTGCCAGGCAATGTAATGTATGCCCACTGGCAGCTTTGACTTTGAATAAAAATATTTAGCGGTACAGTATGACCAGTATGAAATATTCAACCTTCAATTTTTAGCAATTCAATTCTAGAAGGCAAATATTCAATATTCAGCGCTGGACTGAATAATAAAACCAAGTTTCATCAAATTCCGTCAACAATTGTGACTTCTAGAGTGTTTACGTGCAATAACTCATACTAAATATTTTTCGATTTTTAATAGGGTTTATCCTTGATTGATAATAAACACTCATGTCAAGTTTTGTCAATATCCACCAAGAATTGTGCCTTCTGGAGTGTTTACGAGCTAAAAATTGAACGCTTTTTCAAGAACAAGGGCAATAACTAATACTAAATATTTTTCTATTCTTCTGATTTTCCATAGGGTCCATCCTTGGGTGATTACGAACACTCATGTCAAGTTTCGTTAATATCCACCAAGAATTGTGCCTACTAGAGTGTTTGCGAGATAAAAATTGAACGCGTTTTCAAGAACAAGGGCAATAACTCATACTAAATATTTTTCGATTTTTAATAGGGTTTATCCTTGGTTGATAATAAACACTCATGTCAAGTTTTGTCAATATCCACCAAGAAATCTGGAGTGTTTACGAGCTAAAAATTGAACGCGTTTTCAAGAACAAGGGCAATAACTAATACTAAATATTCTTCGATTCTTCTGATTTTCAATAGGGTTCATCCTTGGGTGATTACGAACATTCATACTGGTTAGTTTTGTCGAAATTGTCAAGAATTGTGTCTTGTAGAGTGTTTACGAGCAATTGTGGACGGAGGACGGACCATCAAACAGACGGACATGGGTGACGGCAATATAAGCCCCCCATTTCATGTGGGCGTATAAAAAGGCATGCAATATAAGCCCCCCATTTCATGTGGGCGTATAAAAAGGCATACCTAGTAACAAATAACTACTAGTACTAGTAGTGCCATACTAAAGCTTCCTTAAAACCAAACCAAACATAATGGGAACAACTGCATTAGGAGTAGGCCGCCCTTAGGAGTAAGATAGTATGAATATTCTAGATTGAGAGTGAGAGGAATGAACTTACAAATAAATCCCTATACACTCCTCTTGCTTTGGTATAATGTACAACACAACTTTCACAAAATCTGAATGGTCTCGCATTCAGAATTAAACACTCAGTAAAATTAGAAGCAGATTCAGCAAACATTTGAAGATAAGCCTGACATGGTTGTAAAATCGGAGCTGTTGAATTATGGTTCAGCAAGTCAAATGATATATCTCCCAGATCAGTTGTCATTATTATTTCAGGTGTAGTGGTAGATCGAGTAGCTGAATCTTCAGTTAGATTTAACATGATTAAAAATAAAATGATGTAATTCCGGTAAAATATTGAATTTGCCATCATTGAGTCATTGAATATAATAATCATGGATTTAATGATGATTTAATTAAAATCGCAGGGCAAGACAACAACTGTCTTGACTTGATATTTAAAGTTAAGATTGATAGATCATGTGAATGTTTCTACATCCGGGCAACGTAGGTCAATTCGTAAATCAAGAGAGATGTTTCGACAAAAAATAACTTTGGTTCTTTAATGCAGTCGAAGGATGCCAAGAATATTCCATTATTATTATTTGCCAAGAGTTGATCTAAAGTTATAATTACATATTTCTGTTAAGAAAATTTGAAAGTGTGAGTTTTCTTCGAAAAAAGGTTCGTTTCAAAAAATCAATGATGTCAAAAATTGTAGAACCAAGATGTCAGCTCCCTTGAGTTAAAAGTGAAAAGTAAACAGAAAACTAATTTTTGTGAAAAAATCAAACAACTATGTCTTTAGGCATATCTAGTTATTGCAGGTAGGCCTATGTCCTAAGAATTGAAAAAAAATCAGTCTGAAACTTGTCTTTACAGAGACCACATCATATTTTACATTCCAATTCCGGCTTCTCCCAATCCAATCCAATCCAATCCAATCCAATCCAATCCAATCCAATCCAAGTGCCTCCCAAAGTGGTTCCCCCCTTTTCAATTAACAGCCTAGTGAGTGATTTTCTCCACCTATTTTTCGTGCATCTCTGGAAATGATTAATAATTTACATGTGCTACCTAGTGACCTCTGCATTTGCTTGTTTTGATAAACGTGGGTTATCTCTACAATGTCAGCTAGCAGAATAAATCCAGTAGTTTCAAGCTCGGTAAAATGTATTAATGTCTACTTTGACAAATACAAAAGAGCGAATTTCAGTTATTACCAAACGTCACAATTTTTTATCGGTCGAATTTCCTTATAATCCCTAGCTGTAATCAGAATTCCATGTGTCGCTAAAATGTAGTCCAACAAATGAACTAACGCCAACGGATTCCATGTCAGCAGAAAAAATCTATGGAACACAATATGGGCCATATTCTTATGTTGTTTCAATGACTTTTAGCAATAAATTACATTTTACTAATCTTATTTTGTCAATCACTATTTTTTTTTTAAATAGTTGTTCTTTTAAGGAATTGTCACTAGTTATAATGAATTGATATTAAAGATAAATACTAAGTGAAGCTAATTATACCATTAGGTATCCATACAATGTGTTTTTCTCGACTTATTTATAGATCAAATATTGTACATGAAAATATGTGACGCATTCTGCCGCCCTTGCCAAGTTGGTTGCTCATGAAATATGGGTCAAAGTGAGGGATTCATAAAGAAAACCAAAAAACCAATTTTAATTAATCTGAGGAAACATTTAAGACATAAAAAGAAAATTTCTGTTTTTTTAACTTTCACGAAATTCGGTGTTGAATCCTTCTATGCACGAAAATAGGATTGCCCTTGGGTTGATGAAAATGTTAATCATTGGAAAAGTTGATGTTTGTAAATATGATTTTACGTAGGGGAATTTTTATTCAGAAAAGTATGTCATTTTCACAGGAATTTTCTCTGAGGGAAGAGTGTCTCTTTCTATTTTTTTTTTATTAAAAATACTTAATTAATAGCAAGAATTCTACATCATTAAAAAGTGCTAATACTCCAAAAAGTTAAAAAATTCCATGTAATTTCGTCCATACAGCAAAAATCTGGTATGCAAATAAAAAAAGTAATTTATTTTCTCAAAGTGTTGAGTGTAATTACCTAATCACACACCTATCATAATTAACAAAACAACTATGACATTAATTTATAAAGCCTTAAAACATGTACATGTGCATTAAATGGTGCATGTTTCGATTATGAAGCAATTACATAATCGATTATGCGTCTCCGATTATTTTGATTAATCGATTATTATTTTCATCCGATTACCCATCACTAGTTATTAAGATGGGTTCCCTTATTTTCATTTATGAAAATGAAAATGCTTATTGATGCTTATATAAATAGAAAGTAGAGGTGTTCTAATGACTTGGAAAAATACCAGTTTGTCTCACAAGTCAATAATTATTTCATAATTAGCTAAATTAGAAGAGAATTACCAACAGAATTCCAATGAGTGACCGATCAAGAAAGGTCCAAAGGTCTTTTTTTGTTTATCCAGACTGTACATACATGGACATTTATGATTGGTTAAAACTCTTAGTTATATGCAATAAGAACAAAATGATATGATTAAGAATAAATGATAATTCATTGGAAATACCAACTAATGAAGTAGTTCGCTTTATTTGACACTAAAAATTAAGGAAACCCATCTTTAACATTGGTCAGTAACTTATAACACAAATAAAAAGGATTAGAAAATCAGAGCTTATATAATTGTGAAATAACATAATGTGATTCAATGACAAATGTTACTAAGGGTAATTTTATGATGTTTTATTCTACATGTAGGTTTTTGATCAAAAGAAAGGTTTTGCAATCAGCAAATTCCGCATCATTTAACCAGTCAGTACAACAATGGAAATCAAAGAAGAATAGAGATAAAAAAGACACTGATGGGTAAGATGAGAGAAAATCAATTATATCTGTAATAAAATTTACTTACCTAGTTATTAATCTTGGCATCCTTTTTGAAGTGTCTATTTATGGATGATGTGCATTATATGGTATCGTATTATTACGATTTCCAAAGCAAGCCCCTATTCATCATAACTTTCTTGAGATCATGTTAGATTAATATTAAGAAATTGTGCATTCAGGTCTCTATACTCTAAAATTTGAAAGTGTCAGTTTTCTTCGAAAAAAGTTTCGTTTCAAAAAATCAATTATGTCAAAAATTGTAGAACCAAGATGTCAGCGCCCTTGAGTTAAAAGTAAAAAGTAGACAGAAGACTAATTTTTTATTTAGTATTATATTCTATCTACTTTTTGTCTTGATTGGTCAGAGATAAATATGATCAACCCCATGGCTTAATTTAATATAGATTGATATGAATTTGTCAGAATTGGTATTTGGATATGATGTCTTATTATATACTTGTTACACATAAGTAGAAAAAAATCATTAAAAATAATTTGATGTATGAACTATTTATTTGTTAATCTTAGAATATTTTTATGTTTCCCAAAAAATCTGCCCTTTTTTATAGAGAAAAAATATCTGATGAAATGAAGGAAGCAGTGAAGAATGTTGCTAAATCTGTACCTGGAGATGAACAAAAGACTGAAAAGGATCTTCTTGGATCACTATTAAGAAGATCTCAATCTCAAGCTATTAAAAGGCCTCAAGTGAGCAAGACATCTTCAGATGATGAACAACACATAAGGTATCAGACAATTTATAGAATAAATGCATATAATAGTATTAATTGGATTGATACCATACAGTAATTTTCGTGCATATACAGTGGTGTAACCTATTTTCGTGGATATAAGGATTCAACACCGAATTTTGTCGAAGTTAAAAAAAAGAAATTTTTTTTTATGTCTTAGATGTTTCCTCAGATATTCTACAAAATAATTAAAATTGGTTTATTTCGATTTTCTGTATGAATCCTTCACTTTGACCCATATTTCATGAACAACCAACTCGGCAACGGCGGCAGAATGCGTCACCTATTTTCGTGTACAATGTTTGATCTATAAATAAGTCTAGAAATCCACGAATAATAGGTTTCCACAAAATAAGATTACTTGACTGTAAGATTCATCAGTGAATTTTGTCAAAGTTAAAAAAATGGATGTTTTCTTAGATATTCTACAAAATAATTAAAATTGGTTTGTTTCGAATTTTTTTTATGAATACCTCACTTTGGCGCGTTTTTCATGAGTAACCAAATCGACAACGGCGGCAAAATGCATCACATATTTTCGTGTACAATGTTTGATCTACAAATAAGCATGATTTATAGTCATTGAAACAACATAAGAATATGGTCCACATTGTGTTCCATAGAATTTTTCTGCTGACACGGAATCAGCTAGTTGATCACGTGACTTCTTTCGTTGGACTACATATTTAGTGACCATAAATATTGAAACTGCTATAGCTCCTAAACATACAATGAAATTTAAAATGGTATGATAGCTTCTTTAGTTTTTAAGACAATTACAGTATATTGTTTTGTCATCAACTGATTTTCATGAAGCTTACTAAAAGTTACTTATTTTACCAACTGTATGTTGACTTGTTGTTAGATTTTTTCAATGAGATCAAAAAGTTGAAATGAGGTTTATCTACTAGTGAAAATCAAATGAGTTAATTAGTTAAGTCTGCAAGTTATATCTTCATGTAAATAATATATATACAATATCTGTTTTTTTTTTCAGTAAGCTGTTAATGAATATGAAAATAAATACTAATGTCTCCGAAGGTAAGTGTGAAAGATCACTTTGATGAAAATCAGTTGATATAGTAAGACATTCTTTCCTTTTAGCAAAGAATCCTATTCAATTTGAAAGTTCTCTGTTGGTGCAAACTGCTCATATTTCAATACGGACTTCCCGTTAGTACTGTATAAATACATACCAAATTTTTTTATGATAATCAGTTGAATCTTTTTGAAGAATTTTAAAGCATGCCAATGTATATTGATGATGATAAATGAATGATTTTGGAGTGACACTCTTAAAGGAATACTGACATAGAATGTAAATTAAATAAAGATTGTCCAGTTGTAAAATCATATAACCATGTTGAGAGTAACAGATAGCATACAAATGATGATAAGATAGCAGATGAATTCACTCCCAATGTAATAGCATGACAGGCTATGCTTATTCTTCTAGACACCATCTGCCTGGAAATGGAAATGTGGACGTATATTGCCGTCGCCCCTGTCCATCGGTCCGTCAGTCTGTCAACATTTCTTGTGAACACAATAGATTTTCAACTGATTTTAATGAAATTTGGTTTGATCATTTATGTTGATGAGATCTTGGTCAAGTTCGAATTTGACGATCTTTCGATGAACGGTTTTTTAGTTATTGCCCTTGACTTAAGCAAAACGCGTCAAAATTCGTTTGTGAGCACAACAGAGACTACAGTTTTCAATTGATTTTAATGAAATTTGGTGTGATCATTTATATTAATAAGATCTTGGTCAAGTTCAAATTAGACGATCTTTCGATGAACGATTTTTGAGTTATTGCCCTTGACTTAGGCAAAACACTTCAAAATTTGTTTGTGAACACAATAGAGACTACAGTATTCAATTGATTTTAATGAAATTTGGTGTGATCATTTATAATGATGAGATGTTGGTCAAGTTCGAATTTGACATTCTCCGGTTTTTGAGTTTTAGCCCTTGACTTAGGAAAAATGCTTCAAAATTTGTTTGTGAACATAATAAAGACTACAGTTTTCAACTGATTTTAATGAAATTTGGTGTGATCATTTATATTAATAAGATCTTGGTCAAGTTTGAATTTGACGATCTTTCGATGAAAGATTTTTGAGTTATTGCCCTTGACTTAGGAAAAACGCGTCAAAATTTGTTCGAGAACACTTTAGAGACTACAGTTTTCAATAGATTTTAATGAAACATGGTGTGATCATGTATATTGATGGGATAATTTGATGTATTTGGGTTATTGATATTAATATTAAATTTCTTTAATATGAGAAAATTCATTCTTTTGTCACTAAAGACTGTTTTATCATTTCTGACAACTGCCAGTGGGCGTATGTTACCATGAACACAATCAAGGAGATAGTGTCTGAAACCTGGTGTGAAGATATATTAATTGGTCAAGTTTAGAAATGAAAATAATCAAGGAATGACCTGAACATTTTTTCAGTTTATCAGTCTATAAACAGAAAAAAAACTGTGTACACTTGTATTCCTTATAATTAAATCAACACGAATATGTGCTAAAATATTTATCTAAATTGGCACATAGATACATAACATTTTAACATAACGCTGATGAACCGATAACAACTATTCCTGGAGAAGAGCCAATCAGCAATAAGTAGATCACCGTATTTATAGTCTACTGTTTACTGCCTGAAAGTTGATGGAGCGGCCACGTTGAAAGTTCAGTTATTGAAAGAAGAGTTCTAAGTCCAGAATTCATGATATTGTTGGAATTTGGAGTGTGCACATTCAGTTAGGTGTCGATTTCGGCTCTGTTAGCGTTCGAAGGAACAACATCAATGCCGTGTAGTGGCCACGTCAATCAAAATGATAAAAGTAGTCCGTTGAGGGAAATGGATATAAACCAAATGCATGTTATCAAATTGTGTGGTACCATGTAAACGTAAATCGTGATTTGATCATTAAGATTTTGGTTTTGAGCTTTTGTCATTGTCTAATTTGGTTTGAGATTGACTCAACCATTATATGATCTCTTTGAAACTTGGTATGCACACATGTAAATGGATAGTTCAAAATGGACAATATTTTCTTTCTTTTTTTTTCAATCAGATGATAGAGTACTATACAGTGTTTATCAAATTTTGATGAAATTTGGAATAAATGTGTATGTTGATGAGACTTTGTTCAAGTTTTAATTTGATAGCCTGTTTATGAGGTATTGCCTTGACATACAAAATATCTTTAAGATTATGAGAAAATTCATTTTAAAGTCACTAAAGACATTGTTATCATTTCTGACAGCTTGTAGTGGGTATATGTTACCTTGCCTGGCAGTCTATCTTTAAATCTTATGATATTGATTTGTTTTAATTCTGTAGAAAAAGAAGATGAGAAGTTGGATGTAAGGTAGGTAATTTAAAGAACAGTTGTTTTCAGTTTTTGAGCTCAATGACTTGAGTCAAATTCCATCAATGGTGACAACACTGTTTAATGTGATTTTATACTATATACTTTTCCTCTCCCACATTTTGACTAATTATTCTTCTATATATTGACATATAGCTTTATCAATGCAAAGTCAAACAATGACTATTATTACTGCAATAAAGCTGATATTCCAGTTCACATTAAAAAAAGAGGCAAATTCTCATGGAAAGCAGGACAATATTTCTAATCCATACTAAATAAAATACAAACTTACAAAATTACAAGAACAAAATAACTCAACTTCTCTGGCAATAGTCCGGCATTGTTGACTTATGACACCTTTAGTAATGTCTTAAGGGCATTGTAAAGCTGATGTAGAACATTATTACCTTTCAATTAAACCTGGGAATCTTATAATTACAGAAAATTCCAATATTCCTCATAAATAGTTATTATTTTAGATGTATGTATGTTTGTTTCATTTGAGCAGTTATTGATTACAATTTGTTTTATAGTTCAACTTTGAGACTATTTGAAGGACCAGATTTGGGGATTTTCAACCCTGACACAGAAGAAAAAGTCCAATGTAAGTTTTAATTCTGTTGAGATTAAGGCACTATACATTATATATTAGTACTGACACATAAGGTTTGTGGAGATTTTCACTGATGTTAACCATTCTACTTTTGTGAGGCCGCCACAACCAGAAGTTAACATAATAACTGAAGCAAAAAAATTAAGTGATTTATCTTAGTTATGGTGTCAGGTATTTCCTACCTGGATAGTGAGTTTGGGTCAGCCCTGTCAGTTAAAATGTTTTCGAATAAAGAGTGTAGGCCTAAATCAAATAGACTATTGTTTGCGTAGATAGGGAGTGTAAAGTTCATGTGGTTAGTATGTGTGTTTTGAAGACATGGAAAGCACTGCTTCAGTGAAGTCATCATCACATTTATCAATTAAAGGGACGGTGCAAAATTTTTTATTTTGGACCAATCATACCTAAGCCTCAGAGACGGAATTTTTTTTTAGCTAATCCAATCAGTAGTAGTGTTCACAGCTCACTGTCAAAATTTGTTAAAAAGACAAGTCGCCTTTCTGGAAACACTGCCATATATAGAAAATACATCTATACAAATAGGAAAAGAATCTCCTAGTTTGAGGTATTTTTGAAGCAGTTATGCGCTTTTGGTATCTACCATTTGATTGGTAATTAATCATTAGAATGATGGTTTCTTAATTAATTTAAGATCAAACTGTAATTCAGAAGCTGATGTAAGAAATAAACTGTTAGAGTTTAGCCGACAAGCACAAAATTTGTCAGGTATCTTTGGTTATGCCCGTGTGCTGTATTAACTGAGATTTGGAGTTATATACACTTAATCCTTTGAGAACAGACAGTGACCTAAATACATGAATCAAACAGGATCAAAGAGTTTTTAAGCTCAATATGTATGGGGAAAGAAATATTACACATTTGCTTGGTTTACTGGGAATATTAACTATTGATCATATTATGAAAATAGATAATGAAAAACACCTGCTGTTTTTTGTAGGAAAACATGTAAGATGCAGAAGGTAGTTGTATCTACCTGATATTTATCAAATCAATTTATCAATAATTAATCAATATAGTATATAGAAGAAACCCAATGTTTGGTAATACTCGACACCGTTCTAAGGGTTTTATTATAAACAATTATAAAATCATAGACATGACATTCTATTGGATCAAAAAACTATTTAGAAAATTTCATTATGCCAATTCCTTCTTTCCTTGGTAATTTCTTTCTTTTTTTTCTTCTTTTTTGCTGTTAATGGAATGAAGATGAAACAACAGGTGAGGTATATGACAGAAAACAATCATTACGTTATGCATTAGAGAGAGAGAAATTTGAAGCTATGTCTATAGCAAGTATACCTACAAATGGTTTTCAAGAGATGATTAATTGGACTAAGGAAGGAAAACTCTGGAATTTTCCTATTAATAACGAATTTGGTAAGTAAAAAATACATATTGCTTTCCGCAGAGCTCCGGTCACAGTTTTGGAACAGAACAGAAAAGTATGAAAAGACAGTCAAAATACATTAAGATATGACATGATTGAAGTCATGATGAAAAAGGATAACCCATAAAGCTTGTGTAAAATCCTCATTAGTTTATTTTCAACATTATGTAAGGCTTTATTGGTTTGTTCCGTCAGCTTTAATTATTTGTTTCAAATTGTTTAATTATGGCTTAAAAAATGTTTAAGTATGAGTTTTACTAATGACAAATGTTAATTTGTGGTTTTAAAACTATTAAATATTTCTTAGGCAAAGAAGATTTAAAGGTAGGCTTTGAAGAACATGTTTTCCTAGAAACTGAGATCAAGGATTTTCCCCGAAAAGGACCCATTAGACATTTTATAGAATTAGTTGCTGTGGGTTTATCAAGAAATCCTCATATTAGTGCCAAGAGTAAGAGAAATCATATCAACTGGTTTAGAGAATATTTTAAATCCAAGAGTAAAGTGTTGGAAGAGTCTTTAGGTGATGCCAGTAAATTTACAGAAAGAGAAAGCAACTCGGTTAAAGAACAGAAATCAATAAAACAAGATAAATGTTAATTTATAGTTTTAGATTATAGTATATAAATAAGATGAACAATGTAACATGTAGTTATATTTACCAAATAGGTTTATGTCTCCATGTCTCCATGTCCCCATGTACTACTGTTTAGGATTGGAGCCTCTGTGGTTAAGCATGGTATTTTAAGTGGACTTTGTGACTGATTCAATGAGAAGCCCCTTTTAGCCCCTAGCTAGCCTGAAGGTCCCATCTTGAGTCTTGACATAGCTTTATAGTTTACTTTTCTGTGTTTTTTGTCAACCCAATTTCCCTCTGTCAGTGATGCAGGTTACATGATAGATGTGTTATCAGATTGTATATGAAACTGATTTTCTGTATGATGAAGACAGTTCACGTTGAAATTATCTTGTGAACTAAAATGAAAGCCTTGCGGCTTTAATGTAGGGGCTGTCCGAGGCATCCAGAAGTCAACAGATTTCAGGTGTTCTGTGATGAATTGAAATTTCCACTTCAAATTAAAACTTTTCACAGGCCCACTCCCCTGGGTGATCCCTATAGATTTTGGTGATGAAAGGAAAATTTTCAGAACATTATATAAAAGACCACAGACAGACAAACAGTATAAGTTACAGACCATATTTTTTTACATTTCAATTCTACAATGTGGGCATATGATTAATTTTTTTTTTACTTTTTCTCCCATCTTGATCTTTCCACACAGAAAGAATTCCTGTTTGATTGTAAAGTAAAGAAAGCTTATGATCTATTATCTAGTTCAGGAAGTTTAATATCTTAATGTTCAAGTTTGGTCCTGTTTCTATATCAATGTGACTCAATGGCTTTCCGTTATATTGCCTGTTATACAGTTTCCTTGTTTTAATCATTTTCAATTTCATATCGAGATAATAATGTCAACTTACACGTTTTCCTTTTTATTGGTAAGAATTCATTTATTCAGATACTTTTTAAAGATTTTATCAATTGGTTTTCATTCGCCCGAAAATTATTGTCACATAAAAAAAAAACAGCTTTAGCTTAACAGGCCAGACAATGATGGTAGATGTTTAGGCTTAGGATTAAAATGTTATCTATACTGAATATTAATGTATTTAAATGTCAAATAATGGAAATAGTTATGCAAGTGATGTTACATTCATTATAACTAAAATGGTATCAGAGTTTTGATAGAGTAACCGATATAGACATTTTAAATGAATATGAAACAAAACTTTGGCTACCTTGAGTTTTTCATTAAGTTTTCTGCGACAGAGAAAGGTTGTAGAAAAGACTTCTGATCCTTGATGCTTTCCTTTTCAAATTGTCTTTAAAGTATATACCCTACAACTTATCGTCTTATTTTATTTCAATCAGGGGAGAAGCAATATATATTATATAGACGACTTATATCCTTTGAAATATTATTTCACAAACAAACCAGGCGCCGGTTAAATTAAAAAAAGTACTACGAATAGCTGAAAAGGAGTTCAATGAGTCGAAAAAGCAAATGATAAGAGGACTAAATCCCTTGTGAATATTTGTCCATTTCTAATTTATATATTATATATATATATTCATTTATTATATAGGCTATACTTTTTTTTAAAATGAATGAGCGAAATGATAAACAGGATAATTTTCCGAATAAAATAGATGTATAAAATAGTGCGTCATTCGAAGTTCCACTATAACATGTATTATACTTTCAACGGATGTTGATAACGAGAAATTGCTTTGCGCTAATCTGAATGAAATTAAGCCTAATTTAATTCTATTCTGCCCGAATAACATTAACTTTTGATTTAATTCTTTATTTTGTATGTACCACATAGAATTACCTTAAATGTATTTAAATATTGGCTAATTTAATGCTAAACTTAAAGTTAGTCGAGACCAGTTTTAACTTTTAATTCTATTGAAAATTCCTTTTGTGACTCTTCGATGTTTCAAAATGGACGATTATTTCGACGATTTAGATGATTTTGGTGAAATCAACCGTGTTATTCCCATCAATAGACATGTCAGGGATCGCCTGGACCCCTTCACATGGTTTTCGGAGGAGGAATTTAAAGCAAGGTTTAGATTGAATAAGCAATCGGTGTTGAATATCAAAAAATGAAAAAAATGAAACATGACATGGAGTCCATATCAAATTTATTGTGACGTTCATTCGCTCCTTTGAAGAATAGAAAGAATTAAAGATATCGTTTGATCTTACTCTTGTTGATAATTATCATAAAAGCTGTAAGACACCAGATGAGAGTCTATAGAGTTTTGGACGTACATACAGCAGTGATTAAAATGTTAAATAAGAAATTTGTCTTAGTGACCAATCTTTACACTCTTTTGTCATATATAGATTGCGTATATAGTGGGTGGTTCGAATGGAAAATAGAATTTCATTACAGTACAGATAAATATATTTAGTTAATTGTTAGGTGGTGCATACAAAAAATATCTGGTTATCTTTAAATACATTTATCTAAATCTATTTAAGGTTTAAATAATTCTATTATTCTTCGTTTGATTTTATATGGTGCATACTGGCCATTATGTGTAACTTTAAAGCTAAAATAACTTAAGTATTGAATGTTAGATTTCGTGGAATGAATTGATATTTCGACTCTTTTAAAAGGAGCAGTTTAAAACGTTGTAAATTATACCTGAAGAGATATTTGAAATATGCTATTTACATTTATCTTCTTGATCAAACTGAATTTGTATTAAAAGAATTGATTTTAATATCTTCCAAAAAGCATAATGTGTACGTAAAGGTTTTAAATAGTTTTGGCGTTAACAAATTAACAGCTGGGTATTTGTAGTATATATTTTCAGATAAGCTCTGGGGCACATTTCTGTAGATTTTGATGTATAATTTTCATGAATTTGAGCAAAAAATTGTTTCGACATACGAAAAAAATAGAATGCCCCTCCAATCATAGCTTACGGTATGCATTTACCTTAAGTAAAAAAAACCGACAATTTGAATTACGCTTATATGCCTGTTGAAATATTTCCAGTTATTGTAAAGTTTAGTAGGTTAACGGATTTCAATCATTAAAATGACGTATTTAATGAAAAGGAAATAGATCTCTAGTAGAATTATAATATGTTCGTTTCTAGTCAATAACATAGCCCTGTGTTCATGATAGGGCAGGGGTTTTCAACCTGGGAGTAAATTTTGAAATTTTTAGAAGGATTTATAGTACGGAAAAGGGAAAGGGGAGAAAAAGGTTGAAAAACCCCGTGGTAGAATGAATATAGATACTGCGAAATATTGGCCCGTATGCACCAAAAGAAATTAAGCGTAATTTAATTCTATTCTGCCCGCATAACATTAATTTTTAATTTAATTCTATATTTTGTATGTACCACATAGAATTACCTTAAAAGCATTTAAATATTGGCTAATTTAATGCTAAACTTAAAGTCGGTCGATACCAGTTTTAACTTTTAATTCTATTTATAAATCAGTAGAAATTTCTTTTTGTGGCTCTTTGATGTTTCAAAATGGACGATTATTTCGACGATTTAGAGAACTTGGTGGAATCAGCCGTGTTATTCCCATCAATAGACATGTCAGGAGTCGCCTGGACCCCTTCACGTGGTTTTCGGAGGAGGAATTTAAAGCAAGGTTTAGATTGAATAAGCAATCGGTATTGAATATCACTAATAGTTTGCAAATCATACTAGAAACACCAACTGAAAAGAATGCTGCATTGCCCCCTTTACTGCAAGTGTGTGGATGTTTGAGGCTGCTATTGGGTGGTTCATTTCAGTGTATAGCTGGGGACCTTATACATGTGCATCAATCAACTAAGCGTTTTGTAAATGGAATAATTACACTTAAAATTCGATTTCCAGATGATTTACGACAAACAAAACGACAGTTTTTTCGAATAGCCCGTTTTCCTAACATCATTGGGTCTATAGATGGAACACATGTTGTCATAAGACTTCAAACATTCAATATCCAGAAATATATAGAAACCGTAAATCATCAATTTCCTTAAACGTTGAAGTTATCTGTGAACCTGATTTGCGATTTTACAATATTGTAGCCCGATGGCCTGGCTCAACACATGACTCTCGAATTTTTGATAACTGTAGTCTAAAAACTAGATTAGAAAATGGTAATCTAAGAGACGCAGGGTTGATGTTTGTCATACCTGTTAACTCCATTAAGACAGGTAAATACAGATGCAGAGACACGTTACAACAGAAGTCATATTAAGACGAAGGGAACTATTGAAAGGGCTATAGGAGTTCTAAAACAGCGATTTCCTTTGTTAATGAATAGGTTATACTACGCCCCTGAAAAATAGGCCAGAATTATCATATGTTGTGTTATACTACATAACAAGGCAATGGGGAACAACGACGCAGATTTTCGAGAAGCTCAATGTGAAGACTTGGAAATGGACGTAATTCCAATGCAAGATGCAAAAAGGGGCATGGCCATAAGACGGTCGCTAATTTTACGACATTTTTAGTAAAATTTACATTTAAACAGACAATTACAGGTTCTTAAAACTGCTGCTGTAGTCATATTCTCTTCCACCAACCCCCTTCCCATTATCTACCATTATCTGTAAAAGTTCCATCCTTTTCACGTGCTCAACTTTTTTGTACTCTGATTCCACATGAATTAAAGACATCCGGGCTTGGTGTTCTTCATGCAGGTAATTTATTTTGACATCATGAAGATTTTTTCCACGCTCAAGAATAGTTTCTTGCGACGATTAGCGCCTTGATGATTTACTGGGTGGGGAATCTTGACTTGTCGATGGGCCTGGAAAGGGTTGGCTTTCGTCGTCGTCATCATCTGGAACAAGTAGCCTAGAACTTGAAACGTCTGAGGGTAGGAATCTTTAATATTCTGACAGATGTTATCTAGTTCTGTAGGCTCTTGCCCTCCCTCTGTTTTCCGAACCTCTCGTTTTCTAGCTGCGTCTTTCTG